ATTTTTTTTCTCAAAAATAATATTTATGTGATAAGGTGAATTTTTAATTCATACTTCGCGTGCTCTTTTTTCTGTAAGTTGGTAGTATTGTTGGCTGCCTCTATGCTAAATTTCACGTCAAAATATTCATTGTATTTGAGATACACGTCGTTTGTGGGGCTCTAAAAGTGAATTCTTCAATTTTTATTATGTCAGAATTTATTGAACAAGGAGTCATTAATGCAACATCTCATACTGCATTGGTTATTCGTGATCATTTTGTCACATTTTCGCCTTATTTACCTTCGTGTAACTTCTGGCTATTCAGTGAATTTACATGACCACTTGCGGACACCGTTTTGACTCAATTGAGGATATAAAAGATTTTTCCAGGTGCTATGATGACTCGAAAATTCGTTGGCGTAAGTGTATTGCAGCGGGAGGGGATTACTTTCAAGGAGATTAGGTGGACAAAATTAACCTTTCAATTTGATCACAGTAGTATAATAAATGTTTTCAAAAATAATGATTTATGATTCATTAAAATATTAAATGTTAAACATTAAACGAATTAGTTGAGTTTATACTTCGAGATTTTGAAAACCTCTTATATCAATAGGACAATTTTGTTATGTAGGAGGTCACAAACAATCGTTAGTTGAACAAGACTAGTATATTCATGTTGCATGAGCATAAAAATCATTGTTTTCATATAACTAATAAGTATGTTTTGGATATCAATATAAAAATTAATTGGCGTAATCCTGCATTTAAGCATTTTGTCGAAAAGCTCAGTATGCCAGTAAAAAGTTTCGAATCATGGTTAAGATTTGATGTGCATGTTTAAGCCTTTAGGTGTTTAAGTATAAATTCAAAAGTAAAAGAGTAAGCTTAAAAATTCAATATATATTTTAAACAGAAAGAGTATAGTCCAGCTATAAGCAAAGAACAGTCCCTTAAGCAATACTTCAAGGAATTCAAAAAAGTAATTCAAAATGCTGACGTCGTTTTAGAAGTGGTAGATGCACGCGATCCTTTGGGAACTCGGTGCAAAGAGGTCGAACGAGCTGTACGCTCTTTATCGATTAATAAGCGTCTAGTGTTAATATTAAACAAAGCTGATTTGGTGCCACGTGAAAACCTCAATAGCTGGATTAGATATTTTCGGCGATTTGGTCCGGTTACTGCTTTTAAAGCCTCAACGCAAGATCAAATATCTAAATTAGGTCGACGGAAATTAAAGCAAACTAAAACAGATAAGGCTATGCAAGGATCTGTGTGTGTGGGAGCTGAATTACTAATGTCGATGCTTGCAAATTATTGTCGCAATAAAGGTATTAAAACCTCAATACGCGTGGGTGTTGTAGGAATACCAAACGTTGGAAAAAGTTCTATAATAAATTCTTTGACTCGCGGCAAAACGTGCTCTGTTGGTTGCACTCCGGGTGTTACAAAGTAAGTTTAAATAATTGCATTTTAATCAAAAAAAAATCATATTATTTTCCCGTTTATTTAGAGTCATGCAGGAAGTTGAACTTGATTCAAATATAAAACTAATTGATTGCCCAGGTATTGTTTTTACAAATCCAGCAAAAGAGAGTTCTGAAGTAGTCGTTTTAAAAAATGTTCAACGTGTTGGTGACATTAAAGATCCTTTTACAGTTGCTGAGAGTGTGTTAAAGCGCGCCAGTAAACAATACTTTTGTAAGCTTTATGATATTTCAGAGTATGATAGTTTTGAAGAATTTTTTGCTAAAAAGGCTTCACGAATGGGTAAGTTGAAGTGACTATAAATAAATATATTTATTTATGTAAATATGGTATGGTATTAACAATCATAGGTAAATTTTTAAGAAAAGGTGTACCAGACGTTGTTGCAGCTGCACGCAGTGTTCTTAATGATTGGAATAGTGGTAAAATTAAATATTGTACTCAACCTCCTGAAACAGAGCAAAGAGATGATGTCCATGTTAGTGCTGCCATAGTTCACTCTGATGCTCGCGAATTTGATGTTGATAATTTCGATGCGATGGAGATGGAAATTCTCAACAAATGTATTGTAAAAAATGAGGAAGTATTAGAAGTAATTTCAAGTGGACCTGTGGAAATGAAAATGTCCTTTGATTATATTGATACGAAAAAGCCTGCAGATCCCGTAGTGAATGAAAGCAAAATTCCTAATAAAAAAAGAAAGATAATGGATGCAAACGATACCTCGACAGTGGATATCGTAATGAATTTAGAAGGTAAATATGCATAAAATATGTAACTATTGGCTAAAAACATAACTACAAAAGATTGTTATCAAACGTCTTAACCAGATTTATATTGTCCCACCCCACAGCCCCAAACAATCCACGTAGAAACTCCCAGTCCCTTTGCTCAAACGCAGGTCGTAGATATCAGTGACTATAAGCGTTCCACAACGTATTTTTAGCTGACATCCTATTCCTAACAACATTTAAACCAGTTTTATCGAAATTTTAAATTCGATATAATTCTTTCACTTTAAAACATATATGATAAATCAAGTGGCAATTACGATATGTTAATAAAACTTTGCACAAACGGTACATTTAAGATGTGTCAACTATATTCTAAAAATTATTAAAATCAGGCTATAACGTTTGAATCCCATTATCTATGGCTAACTTTTTGTCGAAAAAATCGCTTACTCTGTGAGTTATGGTTATTATTGGGAATCTCATTCCGAAATTTCTGCCAAATTTTGTGTCATAATTATTAAATACAGTTATGTTCAAAATAAGAAGTATTTTTTTACAAAAACTTGTTTGAAAACTGCGCAGTGAAAATTTGCATTTTCAAACATAAAAATAAAATATATATTTTTTAATAATACTCTCACTGACAAGTTAGATAATAAAAATGATCAATTTTCATTAGAAAGGTATACAAAGAGAAATTTTTTAGTATTACGGTTTTCAATTCTGTACCAATGAGATTGACTAGAATATCAAAAATTTTGAACTGCTTACAAGCAGTTGTAGTTCTAAGGCTGTTGCCGCCAAAAAAAGGGGAAGAGCACAAAAATTAGTTTTGCTTACATCGTTCGTAGTATTGTAATGTATTGGTAGTATGTCTGTGCACATTAGAATGTTGCATAATTTTATTTCTTGTAACAACCAGGATAAAATGTCCTCGAGAAGATATGAACCAGACGCTGACTGGTTTTGCTACTTTTGGGAAGATTTTTCTTTATATGATAAAGAAAAAAATATGATTTAAAAAAAATTTAAGATTTGCATAGCAAATTGCAACACGATACTCCTCGTCCTCCTTGCAGTTCAAATTGAAACTAAATATTTTTGAAACTCTCCCTTTGTGAGCGGAAACCGTTTTGAAAAAGATTCTGAGTAAAACGCATTAAAAGATTGGAGGCGCTATGTTTCCCACTCTGTTCTCTTTCTACAAAGCTGTAGCGACCGTAATAATAGGAGTTTCGATTAAAAAAAAAAAATAATAATAAAATTTTATTTATTGTAATCTCATTYAGGTAATCAGTCATTGAATAAAAATATGAAGGATCAAATCAGAAAGAGAAAAAAACAGAATGTACGCAACGAAAAGAAAATTTCTAAACTAACCGATGTTCTGGATGGATTCAGCTTGGAGACGAGTACCGATAACAAATATGATTTCAACAAGGATTACTTAATTGAATAAACAAGTAGATATCCTATTATATGTAGAACGTATAATAACGCCAATACATTTCAATAATTCGTATGTCGGTTAATTATGTGGCTTGAATTTGAGCTTGAGCCAACTCAAACAGTTATCCCAGAAATACAGAAATATTGTGTCTGTAAATATGTATCAATGATATGCTTGTTATCTAATGTTGAAAATATATTAAAACAAATATTGTACATTCATATATGTATGTCATATAGAAATGTTTTATTTTAAAAAAGAAAATTTTGTTTAATTTGTTTTAATTTTCMCAGAAATGTCGTTTATACTTTTTGTTGCAGCCAAGATTCACACCCGCGCAGCAAAAAACGCACGCCAACAAACAAAGAAGCTGCAATCACAACAGACAGCAGGACGATTTTCTACACGACTTGCACTTCTGCTCTCTGAGAGCACTCGTAAACAACTCGGTATAAKKAACTGTGGGACTTTCAAGCTCCTTACGAACAGCTGCCACCGTAACCATTGGTTTTCGGAAAATGCAAGAGAGCAGCTGGTATGAGGAGTACCGTGTTGCAGCGGAGAGAAAACCGACTGCCTACCTCGCAACGTTACAATCGACACAACATAGCACAACATAGGATAGATCCCGAGAGCTGAAGAGAGAAGCGAGATGCTTTTGCAGACAAAAAAGAAAGAGGCCGAAATGTGTGAGTATAAAGAGCTTGATAAGCTGGCCGACAGGCGTAATGCTCAAAAATTCTACACAAAAATGCGGCGGCTAACAAAAGGTTCTTGTAGAACTCCCAAAGGTAATCTAGTGAGCGATGCSCAGAACATACTTAAATTATGGAGGGAACACTTTTCCAGCCTGCTGAATGGCAATGAACGTACAGCGCCAGGAGATGGTGAACCCGATTCCCCAATCGATTACGGTGGAGCAGACGTTCCATTGCCTGACCGTGAAGAAGTTCGAATAGAAATTACCTGTCTGAAGAACAACAAACCGGCGGGGGCCGATGTATTGCAGGCCGAGCTATCCAAACACGGCGGCGAAGAACTGATAAGTARCATGCATCAGCTTCTTTGTAAAATATGTTCGGACGAAAGTATGCCCAACGATTGGAATTTAAGTATACTCTGCCCAATCCACAAAAAGAGAGACCCCACAATCTGCGCCAACTACCATGGGATAAGCCTCCTCAACATCGAKTATAAGATTCTATCGAGCGTATTATGTGAAGGATTAAAGCCCGCCAGCAACAAACTGATTGGACCTTAGCAGTATGTGCCAAATCTTGCAAAAGACCTGTGAAAGGAGAATCGACACACATCACCTCTTCGTCGTTTTGAAAGCTGCTTTCGACAGCACGAAAAAGAACTGCCTTTATGCTGCGATGTCTGAATTTGGTATCCCCATAAACCTAACACGGCTGTGTAAACTGCGCCAACTACCGTGGGATAAGCCTCCTCAACATCGAGTATAAGATTCTATCGAGCGTATTATGTGAAGGATTAAAGCCCGCCGTCAACAAACTGATTGGACCTTAGCAGTGTGTGCCAAATCTTGCAAAAGACCTGTGAAAGGAGAATCGACACACACCATATCTTCGTCGTTTTGAACGCTGCTTTCGACAGCACGAAAAAGAACTGCCTTTATGCCGCGATGTCTGAATTTGGTATCCCCGCAAACCTAACACGGCTGTGTAAACTGACTTTGAGCAGTACTAAAATCTCCGTCAGGATCGGGAAGGACCTCTCCGAGCCATTCGATTTCAAACGCGGCGACTCCTATCGTGCGACTTCTTCAACATGCTGCTGTAGAAAATAATTCGTGCTGCAGGTGTTAAGGGGTTAGGGGTAGTTAGCACGAAAAAATGACAATTTTTAGTATTTTTTGTCCTATTAAAAAATGTAGTAATATGGCGTTATTATAGAATGTGTTGATTTGAAATCACGAAAATTAAAAAAAAAAATTATTTCCAAAATTATAGTTGTTTGTGTTGACCCGTTTCCAAAAAAAGGTACTTCCGGTGACAACCTGAAGTCCTTAGAGATTCATATAAATCGGACAAAAAAAATTAGTTTTAAAAATACCAAGGATTTATTGTTTTTTTCAAAAACTAACAAAATGACGGCCTCAGGTTTTTTTTTTCTAAATTTTTGGGAAAAATCAACAGTTAATTGGTCTTAACAAATCGAGATTTTTGAAAAAATAAAAATCCTTCGATCAGGCCCGAGTTTATTATGTATTCTAAAAGCTGTGTAAATTTCATTAAAATCTACTGAGAGGTTTTCGAGGTACAGTTGTCACCAGTTCAAAATCACGTTTAAAGTTTCACACCACCGCTTTGAAGTGCCCGAGCTCTCTTTGTTATTTATCGAATAACTCAAAAACTAATGTTCTGATCAACGTGAAATTTTCAAGGATTATTTTTAAGGTGTTACACTTAACGAAAATGCAAAAAAATTTTTTTTTTTTTTTTTTTTTTTTAACCCTTAATTGGGCAGGTACAATCTTTTATAAGAATGTACAGCTGCAGGCGTATGTGATATTCAGGGGCGTTGTGGAATCTGTTGTCGGAATCAGAATTGAAACCGATCAAAAAAATCAGTAGGTGTCATGAATTCAGATATTATTGGTTTGATATTCGAAACAGAATTTGTATAGGTTTTGGGTGTCAGAGAAACCAATTTTGTCGGTTTTGCTGTTAGAAACAAATCAAGAAGATAGTCGCTTACAGATTTGAAATGCAACTTAAGAAATCAAGTGATTTTATTGTTACGAATTAATTTACCTCTATTTTTATAGGAGAAGACATAGGAATAAAACAAGAAATTTCTAATTATTGAGTTTTGGAAAGAAAATGCGGATGTTTAAGGGGGGAGCCTGCTTTAGAGGCTTAAAAAATCTATTTTTTTTGGAAGGTTTTTGGGGAGTGAAATAAGTAACTGATTAAATCGAAATTTCTAGGGTTTATAGTTATATATTTAAACATCATYCGCATTTTTTTTTTGAAATGAAATCTTTTACATTTTGCCTTTGGAAAGCAATTGTTATTAATATTATCTAATAACTTATGTTCAAATTAAACTGAAAATTAAAAAAAAGTAAAATTATAAAAAATTTTAAAAATAAAAAAAACCGATTTTGGTCTAAAAAAATTTACTTTAAATATCTGTTCAAACTTAACGTTTCTTAGTTTTTTTCAGTTGCAATAGAAGATGATTTAATGCCAAAGGTAATAAACTTTGCCCCAATTCTATATGACGTTCAGTTTTTTTTTCTATCACGGCAGCCAATTAAGAAAAATCGTAAAAATGAAAAACGAAATTTAACACCCAAATAAATCTCTTAAAATATTTCTTTAATTCGGAACTCATTAAAAATTTTAATAGGATTACTTCCAAATGTATTCATTTGCAAGTTTTGTCACATTAGTAAACAGCTGATTCGAATATTGGTTTTRCATATGTTCGAAAAGACAAAAATCCAATCAGATTCTGTGACAMCATTGAAAATCAGAATTGGTTTGCAATTCTGACAGCTAAGCAATTCTGTCTTGGATTCCACACCACCCCTGATTGATAACATATGTATATGGTCCTTTGCGCGTTGGCATTGACAGCGGCCACGCTGGCTAGGCCATGTCGTCGGAATGGACGAAAACACTCTAGTTCTGAAAATTTTCGACACAGTACCCGCCGGGGGAAGCATAGGAAGACCTCCCCTGCGTTGGAAGGACCAGGAGGAGAAGGACCTGACTTGGCTTGGAATATCCAATTGACGGCTCGTAACAAAAAGAAGAAACTACTGGCGCGCAGTTGTTAACATGGCTATAATCACGTAAGCGGTGTCTACGCCAATAAAGAAGAAGAAAGCTTCTTTTAATTATATTAAGTTATCAAATTGTCGTCCACATTCGTAAACTTTAGAAGAAATAATGAGAAAAATATCCTTAATTGAATTCAGGTCCTGAATTATAGCTGGCGAATCCAATAACGGCAAACTTTTCGATTCGAGAAATGACTTCGCGTACCTTAAAACATGTATACGGGTATAATTGGGTAGTCGAAAAAGTTTTTTTCGTATTCACAATTTTCTTTGATGGCTTGCGTAGCACTTTTCCTTTTTTTATACAAAAATTTCAAAATGTTGCGAATTTCTTCATTATTTTCACAAATTTTTGAAGAACTGTAACTTTTTCCAACTTGCCACTAATTTAACTTTTTGGTTAAATACGAGGTGTGTTCAAAAAGTATCACGAATTTTATGTTTTTTCATAAATTATTTATTCATGAATACCTATTTTGTCCCCTTCAAAGTAATCCCCATGAGATATTATACACTTGTGCCAACGGTTTTTCCAATCTTCGAAGCACTTCAAAAATCATTTTCWTTTATCTTCTTCAGCTCCTCCTTCGATGCCATCTTTATCTCGTCAAGAGAAGTCCTTTCATGGGCCTCTTCAGTTTAGGGAACAAGAAAATGTCACAGGGGGACAGATCTGGGGAATACGGTGGCTGCGCCATCATTAGTGTGTTGTTTTTTGGCCAAAAAGTCGTGCACAAGCAACGATGTGTGAGCAGGGGCGTTATCGTGGTGCAAAATCCAATTTTTGTCACATCTTCTCGACCTTCTGAGAACATTTTGTACCACCGATAAACGTTGCTTCGGTCGAAGGTAGCTTCTCCGTATACCACAGTCAACATTCTGAATGCATCCGCGTACTTAATTTCGTTTTTCACACAATATTTGATACATGTTCTTTGATCCATTKTTTTGAATAGGTAAAAATCGAAGACGATCCAAAACACGAAGTCAGCTGTTTGCCTTGAAACGTGTGAAAATGAAACATAACAAAGCAAAAATACACAAATTATTGTTGGTTTATTAAAATAAAGAAATTAT